TCTTACCAAAGGCGCCTGCACCCTTTCGGGCTGCTTTATTTGGTACCCCAGCAGCTGCTGTGAAAATATCCTCCCACCCTCTCTTCCCCCCACCCCCAAATCTCCTCCCCTCTCATCATCCTCGCTGCGGAGCCAAAGAGCCTTGGTTTCTCCCGGTCAAAGCCAAGGCCGGAGATAACTCAAGAGCAGAGAGTCAAGATTAAACCCCCCGTAGACCCAACAGTTCGTCTCCCGGCTTCGTCCACAGAACGGAGGGAGCCCCAGAAGGAGACACAGTGTCCTCCTGAAAGATTAAAAACCCTCGAAGTGGCCCTGGGGTGGGCAGAGCAAGACTCTAGCCTCCTCCTAATCTCGGCATCTGCTTTCAAAACATGTTTCTAGTCCTCGTAGGAGGAGAGCCGGCTTCATCTGGGGCGGGGGGGAGGGGGGAGAGCCTGGCAGCACTGGCAAATTTTGCTAAAAAAGTCTTCATGAGCCGATGCCTTTTAATAAAATTTATGAGTCAGAGAAGGTTGGGAGAAGTTTTACACCCAAATATATTTTGTTCTTTACAGTGTTTCCAACTTCCCTTAAAACATTAACAGAACCCCAGGAGGGTCTCGCGCTGGATAATTGACAGGCAAGTTAATCGACTCAAATTAGCAAACTTCCTCAAACCCCCAAATAAGTTACCCAGACCTAATCCACATATCAAAGGATAAGGTTTGCAAACACAAGAGTTAATTAAGTTGGGTCTCCCAGAGGCACTGCATGGTCATAAGAATAAACCTACATATATATATATATATATTGAGTCACAACCCCTTGTAAGCCCCAATTATGGGAGGAAGCTAACTGCTTCCATCATCTGTCAATCGGCTCGTCACAAGAGTCCATCACGACAGAAACCCAATATTTTTACTGTTGCCTTTGTTATATTTGTGTTTTTTTATTTGCTGATAAATAACTAGTCTTCCTTTATTTATTTATCAGCACAAATAAAACACACACACACACACACACACACACACACACACATATATATATGTATATGTATATGTATATGTACACACATACATACATACATACATACATACATACATACATATATATATATATATATGTTTTTTTAATTTGTGCTGATAAATAAATAATTATCAGCACAAATAAAAAAACACAAATATAACAAAGGCAACAGTAAAAAATATTGGGTTTCTGTC